TTCCCCGGTAGAAGTATTGAGGACCTTCGTGCCAAAGCTGTCTCACAGCCTCTGACACTGCCATGGCATGGATCTGTTGCCGGAACACAAACTTATAGATAGGAAAGGTCAGAAAAGTAGACATAGAGTTGGAAACGGCCCCAAGGGCATAGGCCTGGGATGTCAGCTTTTCTTTCCTGGAGCCTCTGCACGTGTCCTGTGCTGAAGCTCCTTCCTGGGAGAGTGGTTCTGCTCCCCCATGCTGAAGAAAACTGTGTGCAGATGGAAGAAACAGGCAAGGGTGGTAAAAAAAGAGATTAGACCGACCAATTAATTCTGTTGGCAAGCATTTTCATTGCTTAATTGGAAATGAACCCTAAGAAACTCAGCTCGACAGAAACAAGCAACTCTTTGAGCCAGTTTCTGATATATAAGCACACCCTTAAGAAATTAAGAATTCATTAACCTTAAATTAAAAGAAAGGCAATCAGTTTTTCTGAACAGAGCCACCACTACAGTATTTTGCTGACACAGCAAATATTCCAATATTCAAAGAAGGATTACAACTGAAGAACATGAAATAGAGGAGGGGAAGACTCCAAAACCTAATGCATCAACTTTCATGACATAAAACTGTCCATTTTATAAACTACTAGAATAATAAGTTGCTATTCTGTTTCAAAAAAAAAAACTGGCACTGTCTTGCAGAAGAAGAAAGGCATTTAACAGTTGAAGTGCAATGCTTTCTCTAGAAGTTGATATTAAATTTGGAGAGGGGGAATCTCCCCTCACCTTTCTCTCCATAGATTTCTGCCCAAGTTGTAGATGTTTCATGGCAATGCCCAGCCCCTCTCCGGCAAGTGGGGAAGGGAAAGAGCAGCTACTCCTGGAAGTTCAGTGCCTAAAGGATCAACACCTGGCAATTTCCAAACCTAACCTTTTAGACTTGTAGTTATATAACAGAGCAGGGTTTCTTAAACTCCGTGCTATTGACATTTTGGGCAGGATAATTTTTTATTCTTGGTCCCTGTCCTGTGCATTGGAAGATATTCAGAGGCTCCCTGGCTTTGACTCAGTGTGTGCCAGTAGCACCAGTGGTGACATACCCAGTGTGATGACCAAAAATATCTTGAGACCTTGCCAAATGTCCCCTGGGAGGCAAAACTGTTCCCGGCTCAGAACCACTATACTATATAGAATAGGCAGTGCAAGGACTCCAAACTATTGCTCCTTACCCCAGAAAGGCCGGGAAGCAGATGGCTAGTATGAGAAGCAACTTGGAAGCCAGGACATATCAAGGAACTTTGGGATCGGAAAAAAATGAATGCTCAGAGCAGATCTGAGGAAGTTTGCCGGGAAGGAAAGAGGGGGTCCCTGGGCTGACGAGACAGGGTGTGCAGCAGCCAGAGCTGGCACCTCAGGGAAAGAGCACAGAGCTGTGTGGGTGTGGGGCAGGAGGACAAGGGAGAGGGGGAGGGGCATGATGGCCAGTCTGGAGGGCTTCCATCTACAGTGACAGGGACAGGAAACCTGGCAGGAACAGCAGACCCACAGGTTTCCCTCAGAACCCTGGGCTATGTGGTGGAGGGTGTGAAGGTTGGGACTCTAATTAAGCTAGCAGACCGATGGGGGTCCACAGAGTCCAGGATGAGGTCCCCAGGGAGGAGTAGAAGCCACACACTGCAAGAAGCCCAGTGCAGCCTTCCCAGGGCTGCCAGGCCAAGAATCCACCTTGGCGTACTATTCCTTCCAGAATCACTCCCATCAGCTCTGCTCTTCCCTAGCCCCTTCTCCCTGCTACATCCATCTCCCCACAATCCCATTCCTATCCCCCCGCCCCATCCATATCCCCACAGTCTCATTCATACCCCCCGCTCCATCCATATCCCCTCAATCTCATTCAATCCCCCCCGCTCCATCCATATCCCCACAATCTCATTCATACCCCCCTGCTCCATCCATTTTCACACAATCTCACTTTACCACCACTCCCAGCCACACTCACCTCTTGGTGGAGAGATATGGAGGCTCAGCCTCCTGCACTTGGCCCATCACCACCTCCCCGTCCTCCGTATTCCATGATGGCCTTAAGCCTCAGCCTCCTTAATGCTCATGGCCAGTAAACTGGGAGGGCCCCTCTGCCTCTTACTCTTTAGCTGAGAAATGAGCAGGAGTAAAAGTTCAAGAGGCCCACTATTTGCATCCCTCTGGGGCACCTCTGGCCCCTGGCAGCCCCACTTCCATTTCTCCAGAGCCAAAGGGGACTCCTCCCAGATACCCAGGCCGCTAAATCCACAGGAGCCCCCAACAGTCCTCAGCTCTCCTACCAAAGATCTTCTTTGCAAAGTCTTACCTTCACCTAAATAAGGACAGGTGGTGAGGCAAATATTTGTCTTTTCTTCTACCTCAGAGTGCAATAATGTTCCACTTCCTCCCTACCATTTATAAACATGTGTTCACTGACACCATAAGGTAGGGCGATTTAGCAGAAAGAAAACTGGGTTAGGATTTGGCAGTGCAAGGACTCCTAACTATTGCACCTACCCCAGAAAGGCCAGGAAGCAGGTGGGGTAGTATAAGATACTAGCATTCTAAGCGAGTTTTGTTATTAACTTGATGTGTGACCTTTAGAAATTCAGTAACATTTTGGAGCCTTACCCACCTGAGCTGTAAAAGGAGCAGAAAGGGCAAAATAATTTGGAGTCATCTCCATACCATATCTGTCAGAGGGGGTTGATATGGGGGCATTCAGGCCAGTAGTCCAGTACTTGATAGAGGAATTGTACTTTTTAATCTCCGACTCCTTCTGCCATTTTTGTAAATCATTGCGGGGGACTAAAAGTGATCAATAATTGAGAAACATCTCACCTTAAATATGTAATCCATTGTATAAATCCAATCCTTTCCATTTTATGGGACTGAAGATCATGTTTCTCCAATGTATTTTCTGTTAAGATGCCAGGCTTCGGAAAGGGCAGACAGACCCAAGACTGAATTCTGCCTCTGCCACTTACTTAACTGTGTGACCTCGGGCAAGACATTTCATTCAGTCTCAGGTTCTTCAGCTACAAAACAGGGACATTAAGACCCACCTCAAAACATTGTGGCAGAGATTAACAACATAAAATGAGATAAAGTGGTTGAAAATCCATAACACGGTGGCCTCGATAAAAGATATCAAAAAAAAAAAAAACCAAAAAGATGCTTCTGTACCTCACTATCTGTCTCCACAGAGCGCATTCTCTTTCCAGACACTCTCAGGACAGCCAGAAGCAGATAAAGAGGCATGGAGGAACACAACTTGTGTTCCTAAGGGAGGCAGAGAAGCCCTTTCTTCCACAAATGGGAAGGCACAACATAAATAATCTAGGAGAGCCTGGCCCCTTGACCTGAATTCAAAGTACAGACCACAGAATGGACCTACAGTTGGCCTTGAGCAGATATCACCTGTACCCTGACCTGCCTCCTATGTTTACAGACTAGTAAAATGAGCCCAGGGGATTCCAGATTCTCCCAGCCAGTCTAGTCCACATGGGTAGCCTGTGTGATTGCCCCAGGATCCAGCCACAAATGAATGCGTTTGTCTGTTCATTCGGGGCATCTCTCAGCCAGTCCTTTGGTCAGCTCACAGACATGTACTGATCATCCACTAAATCATTGTGGGTAAACCACCATGGAGCTAGAGTGAATAGAATTTGGTGCCTACTCTCAAGTGCCTGGGAATCTAGTAGGGGAGACAGGTAAACAATGAGCTAAACTCTACAGAAAGACAAAATAAAGGGTACACTAATGAAGGTGGAAGCAAAAAGACAAGAGCAATTTATTCCTCCTGGGACGAGGAGCACTCAAGAAACTTCTCTGAGAAGGGGCATATGACACAGTCCTTAACTGAGTAGAGTAGCATAGAGTCTTGTTAGGTAGAGGAGTGAGAGCAAGCATTCTAGGCTGAGAAAGTGACCTAAGGCACATAGGCTTAAAAGTGTGAGTTGTGCATGGGGATGGCCTACCCCATGTGGTGAGAAGGAAATAGAGCAGTGGTTGACAGAGAGGAGCCTATTTAGAATGAGGACCACATTTGTCTTCCCCACTGCATTGTGTCCTAGGGCACAGACATGGGCTGTGAATTCAGCCAGCCCTGGGTTTGAATTTCACTCTGTCACTTCCTAGCTTTATAACCTTGGCCAAGTTTCTTCACCTCTCTGATGCTCAGTATCTTTATATGTAAAATCATTGTCATGAAGGATGCATGAGACAAAGTATGGAAAGTGCTTAGCACAGCACCTGGTATGTAAGTTGCTCCGTAAGTTATATTAGTAATTTCATTTTTAAAAATGAGATAATACTAGGAATCCAACTTACAAGGGATGTGAAGGCCCTCTTCAAGGAGAATTACAAACCACTGCTCAATGAAATAAAAGAGGACACAAACAAATGGAAGAACATTCCATGCTCATGGATAGAAATAATCAAAATTGTGAAAATGGCCATAATGCCCAAGGTAATTTATAGATTCAATGCCATCCCCAACAAGCTACCAATGACTTCCTTCACAGAATTGGAAAAAATGACTTTAAAGTTCATATGGAACCAAAAAAGAGCTCGCATAGCCAAGACAATCCTAAGCCAAAAGAACAAAGGTGGAGGCATCATGCTACCTGACTTCAAACTATACTACAAGGCTACAGTGACCAAAACAGCATGGTACTGGTACCAAAACAGAGATATAGACCAATGGAACAGAACAGAGCCCTTGGAAATAATACCACACATCTACAACCATCTGATCTTTGACAAATCTGACGAAAACTAGAAATGGGGAAAAGATTCCCTATTTAATAAATGGTGCTGGGAAAACTGGCTAGTCATATGTAGAAAGCTGAAACTGGATCCCGTCCTTACACCTTACACAAAAATGAATTCAAGATGGATTAAAGACTTAAATGTCAGACCTAAAAACATAAAATCCCTAGAAGAAAATCTAGGCAATACCATTCAGGACATAGGCATGGGCAAGGACTTCATGTCTAAAACACCAAAGGCAATGGCAACAAAAGCCAAAATTGAGAAATGGGATCTAATTAAATTAAAGAGCTTCTGCACAGTAAAAGCAACTACCATCAGAGTGAACAGCAACCTACATAATGGGAGAAAACTTTTGCACCCTACCCATCTGACAAAGGGCTAATATCCAGAATCTACAAAGAACTTAAACAAATTTACAAGAAAAAATCAAACAACCCCATCAAAAAGTGGGCAAAGGATATGAACAGACACTTTTCAAAAGAAGACATTTATGCAGCCAACAGACACATGAAAAAATGCTCATCATCACTCGCCATCAGAGAAATGCAAATCAAAACCACAATGAGACACCATCTCACACCAGTTAGAATGGCAATCATTAAAAAATCCGGAAACAACAGGTCCTGGAAAGGATGTGGAGAAATAGGAACACTTTTACACTGTTGGTGGGACTGTAAACCAGTTCAACCATTGTGGAAGACAGTGTGGCGATTCCTCAAGGATCTAGAACTAGAAATACCATTTGACTCAGCCATGCCATTACTGGGTATATACCCAAAGGATTATAAATCATGCTGCTATAAAGACACATGCACACGTATGTTTATTGTGGCACTATTCACAATAGCAAAGACTTGGAACCAACCCAAATGTCCATCAATGATAGACTGGATTAAGAAAATGTGGCACATATACACCATGGAATACTATGCAGCCATAAAAAAGGATGAGTTCATGTCCTTTGTAGGGACATGGATGAAGCTGGAAACCATCATTCTCAGCAAACTATGGCAAGGACAGAAAACCAAACACCACATGTTCTCACTCATAGGTGGGAATTGAACAATGAGAACACTTGGACACAGGATGGAGAACATCACACACTGGGGCCTGTTGTGGGGTGGGGGGAGGGAGAAGGGATAGCATTAGGAGATATGCCTAATGTAAATGACAAGTTAATGGGTGCAACACACCAACATGGTACATGTATACATAAGTAACAAACCTGCATGTTGTGCACACGTACCCTAGAACTTAAAGTATAACACTAATAATAAATAAATAAATAAATAATGAGATAATAGGGCAGAGCTTGCAGTGAGCCGAGATCGCACCACTGCACTCCAGCCTGGGTGACAGTGCAAGACTCTGTCTTAAAAAAAAATAAAATAAATAAAGAGATAATGGGAATAAAGGCAAGATAACAACTAAATTATTCTAAAGGCTGCAATTGGTCTAATGAACTAGGTCATCTGCAGAATGCATTTTAGACTTTTTTGGAAGGCAAGAAAGAAGAGTTTTCATGGGCTTTGGAGTTTGACATCCCTGGCCTGCAGTCCCAGTGCCTCCACTTAAAAGTTTAAGCCTAACACAAGTTACTTAACGTCCCTGAAATTCAGTTTCCCTCTCTGCAAAATAGGATACAATGACTGTCTTAACAGTGTTGCTGGGAAGCTTAAATGAGATAACAGATAGAAAGTTCCTGGCACAAAGGAGGCAGGCAGCCAAAGGCAGCTATTATTGTTTCAGCTGAAAGCTTTATCTCCAAACCTTCAAGCTTTTAAGGTTTATGTGTTAAAATTACAAAATGTGGTCTCATTGGAGCCATCAGTTGGAACACACTCATACACATGAGGCCAGAGATAGGATGTCCTGTATTCAATTGGAGCCAGGTTGCAAATATGCCCCTGATCCCTGCACGAAGAGTCCCTCGCTTTGTTCCAGTAGCCCAACCCTGGCACCTTTACACAGTCCATTTCCTGTCACTATTTTTGTCCACTTATTCTTGGTCTTATGTGATTCCACTCCTACCAAGTCCAGCTGCAAATACCTAATTTGATGATGAAGCCAATTTAAACACTGAACAAGAGTCTTCTGGGAGGCAAGAGTCAGATGTCATGGGACAGGGGAGCAGAAGCAA